CCTCGCCGGGCCCGTTTTGCTCCGACATCCTCAGCTAGTTAATTCGTCACACGCTCGTGACGTGACTCGCAGTCTTTGGACAGTCGTGAAATTCTGCGGCATTCTGGGAACAACTTTTCTGCCTTCTCGAGCAACCAGCCTCTGCTGCTACTTCCAGATAATTTCTATTTTCTCTCACTCGGAGTCTATTAATCACGTTAGCGTGCGTTCGCACATCGAAGAACGACCGGTGCCTGCGTGCCTGCGTGCCTGCGTGCCTGCGTGCCTGCCTGCCTGCCAACAGAAAACTTCAACGATTATCAAATTACGATATATAAAGTGAGAATATCGATTGTGCGGTACCTATGTGTCTTTCTATCGTATACAGGACATAACGCAACATCTCGCCTAAATACCCTAGTACCGACTACCAGCTGATTCCCATAGAAACAAATTTTCTTCATTCCGTTAACATCCCGTTACTCGAGAAAATCGAGAATTTTTTAGAAAATATTACAATTTTAGCAAACGTAGAACTCGAACTTGCTTAATTTCGCGAATAATCAGAACCGTTTTACCGTTTTATCGTTTTATCGTTTTATCGTTTTACCGTTTTATCGTTTTACCGTTTTGCAATTGAAAATTCCAACGTTCACGGAAGAAGAAAGTCTTCTTAAAGGAGAGTGAAAGTGCAGCTGATTTAGCAACGGGATATCATTTTCGAAAAACTATGCGGTTATTAATATCAAAAATATCGTAAATAATAATATTTTTGTACTTCGATCCAAACATTTGAACGTTGGTCCGCGAAAGTAAGTAAGAAAAGCAGCAAAACATATTTATGTGATGAAAAAATGACTTATTCTTCCATATAGTACATTTAATAAAACTAATGCAAGATATATTATTATTTATATTATATTTATTTATAATATCAGATTTAATATAGACAAGCAAAATGCCGTGTAAATTCAACAAGAATTCAAAATAAATAAATATTCGGTAAGAGAATATCCCTGATATCCTCTACGGTAAAGTAAAAGTAAAGTGGCAAAGTAAAGAGTAAATAAAGTAAGGATTTAAAAAGGCGTGATAGAAACATTAGGTTTAACTTAACAGGAATGAAAAGTGCAAAATTATTACGGCAATGTAGGATATTAGAAGCAAGAGTCAAATTCTAGAAAAGATAGGAAGACGGTATAGAGGGAAATTCAACGAAAGAGGAGTAATTTTTACGAAGACGTCGAGAAACAATGAATTGTTACGTTATTACGAGTATACAGTTTTTTCAAGTGTGAAGAAAGAGAAACGTTCGGTAGGAAAAAGAGTAATTCTTATCAAGATGATATCAAGTTTCATAGCGAGACGTCGCGTCCTAAGAAAGTGCATTCGAGTGTACGAAGAACGTTTACAGAGCGCGTCTGAGAAGCGATCGCACACATCCAAGTTCCGCTAGTGTGCACCGTGCACCGACGGCCGTCCCGCAAGGCCGGTCCACTTCCGGTCCCGCAGAACCACCGATCGACCTTCGCGCGGAAACATAAACGCGCTTCGTACTCGTATCTTTTGTTTGTAACTCGGCGATCATGCAACACGATATAATGCACCGAGCAAGGGAAAACAAAAATTATTATACGAAATTCCGTTCTTTGTCCGTTACAGAACGTGGATGCGCGTGATACTCTGGATGCGTCAATACCGTTAATTACGTATGTCCAGGCAACACGTTGCTACGTCTTTCGACAGACGCAAATTTATAATACGCTGATTTCTCGTGAAAAACGCTATCGCTTAAATTACCTCGTTAAGTTACCTCCAATTATCCAATTATCGATTCGTCGTTAATTCGTTCCAAATTGCTTAATCTTAATACCTACTAAAAACTACCATGGTTACTTTGTAAATCGAATATTGTAAATCACAGTGACCAAATATTTATCCAAGATGCGAAGAAATTTGCGATATCGTTCAAACACACACGCACACACACACACACACACACAAAAACGTATAATATATCTTTATACGAGATTATTTATTATTTATTAATCAGATACGAAAGGAGAAAAAATGTTGTTTCGGTTTTGTCATTTTCTACGGAAGATATTATCTTTAAATACAGTTTCAGAAAATATAGTTTTCGGACTGTGGCGGATAGGACGGACCGAATCGTACGATAAAAAGAAAATAATTTTCCTAACTACGCGTATATGCTAAATTTCGTATTACCGATAAATTTCGTATTACCTTATTTCTTTTGCAATTACCGTTCAGTCCTTGAACATATTCCAGAAATACTCATGATACAAGTCTTTTCTTTCCTTCGTAACGTAATATGCATCATATACCGTAAGAACTATTCGCTAAACGAAGCGAGAAAGCGACAAGAAACATTGTAAAACATACTACGACCGACTATTTTTTTATTTAATTTTCTAGCTAATTTTCTATGCTTTTTATTAATTGATTAATAAATTTTCGCTCGCGCGTTAAATTTCGCATAAAACTATGCGACTCGGGGGAAAATTTCATTTTATTTCTATATAAATTACCAATTTTACACATAATTTTGTTCGTATAAAATTTAATTCTATTTTCGTTACGTTACGTTACGTAAAGTTAGATTATACACTTGAAATCTCAAGTATACGATCTCGTATATATTTTTCATACTACTAACTTGTGACTCGTAAAATTTTTAAAAGCATCTGTTCGACGAACGGACGACATTGCTTCGTACAACGGTAACTATTAGTCGGTAGGATATCGTGGAAGAGTGGAAATTTTGGTGTAACCAACCAGCGGGAGAACGGGAAGAATTAAACCGTAGGAAAATGAAGCGTCACGCGGCTATATCGGCCTCTTCTCGGATGTTCGCAAAGGCCACGACGATGGTAGTTACAACTATGGCTGCGACGCCGACGGTAAGGTCAAGGCCCTCTGCAACCGCCCTACCCAACTCCCATGCAGCTTCGTGGTCACGTGACGCGACTCAAGGTCTTTTCTCCCTACTTTAACCACGCCATCCACCACGATGCACCAAGATTGCACTTTTTTTCGTATATTTGGACGAACGCAGTCTCATAACGTTTTACCTTTATCGAGAACTTGAGAAAACGTTCTCGTTCCTGTCACTCCCTCTCTCTCTCTCTCTCTCTCTCTCTCTCTCTCTCTCTCTCTATTTTCCAGCCTATTTTCCAAGTTCTCCGTTTCGCTTCTATCCGCAGATTTCGAAACTTGTCCTTTGTCCCAACACTCTACATACAATGTTCGTATATTTTTCTTTTAATATAAATTTTTCTTTTATTAGCGAAGCGAATATAGCGATATAGAAGAATATAGCGAAGACTTTGTATAATAAAACGCAACGAACTAACGAGAACGAGGTATATATTTTATCAGATATATATCATACATATTACGCGTATTATCGATATGGTATCGGATATCGTATAGTTTCGATTCGTAAATATGGCAGTTAATTAGTCAAGTGGTTAAAACACGTCGTTTTTTACCTTAGTCCGATTATCTGCGTACATGCTTTAATTTGGCGACGAAGAATTATTATTCTTTCACGGAATGGACAATTTTTCATTCGGATGTGTCTTTTCGGGGGTATTTTGGGTCGCTAAAGCCGTAAACGAGGATCGCTGTTCACGGAAATGGACGGTTATGAAAATTCGGCCTTACGAACGTTTGGCGGAAAAAGACGCCAACTGCAGAACCGCCAACACCGTGATCATACAGAGAGGTAAACGGTAAGCAGCAGAACGAGCGACGATACAGTCAACGCCACCGTTTCACATGCCAATTTTGCCGCTTAGCGTTCGCCGCTTAGCGTTCGCCGCTCAGCGTCCGCCGCCTCGTTCTAATCGAATATTTTATACGGTAAAAGCGGTATTATATTATTAACAGTACTACTATTTCACTTGCAGATTGATTTTCCGTACGCAATTATTTAGAAATCCTTGATACAAGTTATCGTTACGTTGCACAGAATCGCACAATTTACCATTCTACTGGAAAAATTATCCTTGAAAAATGTTTCGTATAGTTACGCATTCCTCAAAAACCATCCGTATATGTACATGTATTTTATGTGTACAGTGCACAGTGTACAGTGTACAGTGTACAGTGTATAGACATACAAACGATGCAAATTTTCCTATATGATAATTAATAAAAGGAAATAAAATTATTTTTATATACTTATTATTATTATTTTTATATATAACTATATACTTCGATATACCATAAAATCCTTGAATTTTGAATTTAACGTTATTTATAACTGAACGATAGTAAAAACTTTAGTAAAAAAAAGTAACTTTAATACGTTCAAGTGGAACGAATAACGTTGCTGAATCGTCCTATAGCGTAATTACGACGTTCATATTTCATCTACGGTTGTAAATATACAAAGATTCGTTATCGATCAAGTGTATCGATTATCAGTATTCCACAGGTACCTACTCCGTTCTCTTTATGCGAATTATAAACGTGTATTAAAAAGTACGTTAGTTTCTCGAACTCTGCCGATTCACTTGTCCATTTGGTAATAGAATAAAGCTTTGGAAAAAAAGTAAGCTTCTGGCTATACTTTCTGTCGTTAATTTGAAAAATTCATCGGTGTTTCTATATCCGAGAATGGATTTTCGATTACAGGGCAAAGAAAATTTTGCCCCTAATCGGCACGATTATGTAATCGTAGCACGATCGACAAGGGTCTGTATGATTCGCGATGAACGAATAGAAACGATAATAAAAAGAAATAAATCGATAATACAAAAGAGAATTTCTTTTCATACGACGCTTCGTTCGCCATAAAATCGAATTTGAAAATATAAAAAGTGGAAATTGGGAAAAGTTAGGAAATCGCATAATTACGGTATTTTCGATTTGCTTATAGATCGATGTTAGGTTCATGCCTAGATAAAAGATACGAGGATGGCAGGTGACGCGGAAGAGGGATCGATGACCTTAAGAGTACACGACGCCGGCTCTATTTCGAGCGGGTCGTACATATGTATATACCGTAGGCCCCGATTAAGATTCAGAATGACCATGAAAGAAGCAAGTACGACGAGCCACGTTTGTTTTCCTATTACGTTAGTCTTGTCAATGCAGATAATACGCGGGCCAAGTAAGACGTTATCGTTGACCACATCCACCGTTCGTTCCACGTCCAGACTTTTCGTTAGAGATTATCGTTAACGTTTCGCGTCGTTTTAACGTTACGCTGCAGAATGATTTTCATAAGTTACAGAATGACGCAAAGACAGTGTCGGATTAAAGCTTCCGCAGGCCTCCTTCGTAGAAACATTCTTTAAATGGTCTTCGAAATATAAACAAAAATGTTTAGTTTAGTTTTCCCTCAAATGTATCTTTTTAAAGGGTAAATTTAAAAAAAAAGGTAAAGAAAAAAAGGTTACAACCTCCTCCCGTACCTCTTCTCTTAATCGACGCTGGCGCGAACAAAATTTAATTTACGTTCGAGCGACTGAAACGCGTCTTTTTTCGTAAATGCTACGTTACTTATTATTAACATTTGCAACAAATGCAACTTATTATCGGATTAATTGGTTGGGTCCAAGAGACAAATTTTAATTACCAAATAAACGCCATGTTTCGCGGAAATGCGTATCGGCGACGTAATATCTGCCTCTCTAAACGGACATCAACGAAGGATAAACGTGCGCAACGAGTTACGAACTGCATAAATCAAACAAACTGTCAAACTCAAATTTATATAAAACGAACGAATGCGTTCGTCCCGTGAAAATTAATACAAAAATTACGTACGCAGAACGCGTATAACTTTTTTCACATATTTTCTGCCATGTCAAAGTAAAAAGAATCGACGTATTTGAAACGTACGCTTCTTTAAGCAAATGTCGGTACAAACGGTATCGCACAATGCAATCCTTTGTAATCCTATGTAATCCTTTTTCTAATTCACCTACGTATTTTTCTATTACGTCAAAATAACAAAATATCGGCGTATCTAAATTAAAGTTACTTTATCAGATTGTATGGTAAAGTTACCGAGAGACTTACTACGAGAGAATCGCTAGACTCGGTTGCTAGGAAACAACATTTTACAAATTTATAGCCTAGTCGATATTTGAGTTGATAGTTTAGAGAGAAACTAACATTTATATTTAAAATTATAACAAGAACAATTATAAAAAGACGTTTTAACGATCGAATTATTTAATAATGAATACGATAGAAGAATTAAATACGATAGAAGAAACACTTTTACTCAACTTAGAAAGTAGGCGCTAAAGCTGCGAGCAAGGAGAAACGCGAGTCGAAAAATTTCATACGATCGATTGTCTTGCTGCTTCTACCGAACGATAACGTGCGATAATTGCACGTTTACAAAGACTGTACGTTACACAATGAGCATACTAAGGTATTTCATAGAAGCTTTCCTTGCAATCGCGTTCCACGTAAGTACAAAAAGTACTGGATTCGACGTGGAATCTCTCTGCCCCCTCTCTGTGTTTCACTTGCAAGGTAGGCGCGGGTTTTCCTTTCACCCGGGCCAGTCAGCTCGAGTAGGCCCAACTGCATATACATACGTACACGCTTAATATCTCGTTGAACGCGCATACGTTCCTACGTAACAACTTCACACGAATATTTTCCATGGCTGCGCGCTTATGAACGCGCCTTCTAACCTTAATCGCATATACCTTTTTCTCGTTTTCTCGTTTCTTCTTTTTCCTCTTTTCTCTTATTTTACCCATTCTCAGCATTCTCCGATTTCTCCTTTTACTTACGAACGACGATTAATCGAAATCGAAATACCAAACAAATTTCAAAATACTTGCTACGATCAAGATCTTTATAATTAATATATTATCGGCGTTGTACAGCGCTAAAGATAAAACTGTTATCCGTGATCGAGCCAAAATGTAACATATTCGATAGGATTTATCTTTCACAGCTAAAGATCATTCTAAGAAAAATTATAATCAACGTGAATTTCAAATACGTTGCTTTCGCGATCGATCTTGTATTACGATATATTCTACGATAGTTGATCGGCGAGCGATCGAAAGCGGTGGAAAAAAATAAAAACGTTCTAGATAAGACGACCAAGGTTACATAAAAATACGAACAATGCCCATTTTTCATTTGCTGGATACGACACTTTATACGAGGTTATATGTACATGCATGCCGATCGAGGATACTCAGCGGTCTGGTCTGAGTGTCAATTAAAATTATTATAGCCGGTCGAGAAGCATTTTTCAGCAGCATCGGGAAACCGGTTCGCTTTGGCATCGGCTGCAATAGCCAGCTACCGTCGTCTCGTGTAAGTACAGTACCGCATTTTGTTTTCGCCTGGCTCAACGAGATCGCGTCCAATTGGTTTCGCGCTTCGGAAAAATTCACACCGCCGATGCCGATAGAGAACGATCGGTAGCGGCGCCTAATAGCTTAGTTAGATCGCCTTCCCATGATTCCCATTATATACAGATAGCGTAACATTCGCAGCCTCTACCCTAATTGTTGTATGATTTATTTAAAAGGAAAATCCAATGTTATTTTATTTCTGCAATTTTATTATATATATATAAAATATATATAGGGTGTGGCAAGACGCGAGTTACAACCGGACAAAAAAGTTATTTCATATAGAAATAAGTAAATGTAAATCATAATATTTCGATTCGCAATTTTCTTTTCCAGATTATATCACGCGTCCTGTAAAATCCTGTCAAATGCTGTCAAATGCTGTCAGATGCTGTCAGATGCTGTCAAATGCTGTCAAATGCTGTCAAATGCTGTCAAATGCTGTCAAATGCTGTCAAATGTTGTCAAATGCTGTCAAATGCTGTCAAATATTGGCAAATCCTGTCAAATGCTGTCAAATGCTGTCAGATGCTGTCAAATGCTGTCAAATGCTGTCAAATGCTGTCAAATGCTGTCAAATGCTGTCAAATGTTGTCAAATGTTGTCAAATGCTGTCAAATGTTGTTAAATGTTGTCAAATGTTGGCAAATCCTGTCAAATGTTGTCAAATGCTGTCAAATCCTGTCCAATCCTGTCCAATCCTGTCAAGTCCTGTCAACCTAACCCCAAAATAAATAAAAACTAATTATATCGTCGCGTATCTTACGTTTCTACTGGAACGTAAAGGAATGTTGCGTTTCTGCGTTACTTTCCCCTCGACTTGTCCACATCACCGCCTAATTGCATTTACAGTCGCGTGTCTGCTGAATCAAAAATACAGATTTATTATCCTGCATATTTTCAAACGCATCGTTCATCGTCATATAGAAGAGATCGAAGAATTGTCCTCCAGAACCCCTTGGGGTTAGGTTGACTAATTTAAAAAATCATTCAGGCTAATTTATTTTCAGCAAAAACATTTAAATGCTAATAGCAAATTGGCAATGGGAAACGAAGAGATTTAAAAGGGATTCGTATTAACGATCATCGTGTGCAACCGAAGCAAGTTCGTATTTAACGCTTCTCTGTTGGCAATATTTATAATACACGGGGCGGTACGTTTACAATCGTCGTAAGTCGATTGGATAAGAAAGTAGATGAGCGGAGGAAAAAGCGTGGCTAGCAATAAGTACGCGGCATGCTCGAAAAACTTACTTTGTGAAAACAAATAGGAGGAAGAAAAGAGGAAGATTGCCGTCGAGTAGCAACAAATGATGGAGGTGCGGTCGGGCCAGTAAGTACGTCGGGAAAGGTTCATCAATATTCATAAGTCTCACTAGGCCTATCCGCGTCTCAAGGATCCAGGGAGTTTCCAGTACACGCTCCTTCTCCCTATCTCTATTTTTCTCTTTTTCTCTTTTCATGTACGTGTCGTGTGCGACTACGTATACCCGACGAAAGCCATTCGCGCGACACGGATTTATCTTCGTAATGCGCACATTGCACGTATGCGCGCATACCTATTCCCACTGCATAAACTGCATTCTATATCGACATTGTCATATCGCGTTACCGTTTTCATATCCCTGTGTGCGTCGGGGCAAACATATATTCGGATGTCTCCTTCTACCTCTGATAAAATCGCAAAATAAACAAAGACAAATACTCTGAAATATCAGCTGTGCTATATATTTGAATCTAAAGTATTTCACGCTTTCTCATCGTTCAAGTTAGCTGTATCTGGAATTACGTCGTTTTCACAAAAATATCGAATACCGTTTAAACACACAGGGCCAAGATTAATTAAGAAATATTCGTTTCGATATTATATAATATGTATATATTCTATATGTAAATAATATTCAGTTTTAATGAGAAAATTTTGCAAAACAACCTGTACATTTCGATATTACAATAACCAACTTTAATCATTTTTATTACGTTTTATTACGTTGACCAAACGGTAACGGCATTTGCAAATTTTTCTTCCAACTAGATTTCCAACTAAAAGGAAATTATTCAAATAATTAACTTTAAAACGTATGCATGCATGCGCAGAGACTAGATAATATATAATATCGATATTGTCAACGACTATTTTTCAGTCGTTTTCAGTCCATTTCAGTCGTTTCAGACTATTTTCAGTCCAAACAAAAGATATCAACTTTTCCATAATAATTTCAATATATTGACTCTTTATATTTGGATAATACGAATATAGATGTCTTTGTCTTTTATTTTTCTTTGTATTTCTATTGCTTTTTAAAACCAAACAAGTTATATCAGAAATCATTATTTACGAATTAGTTGTATTTAAATGTGCGTTGATAGGTGCGTTTAGAACGTATAATGGATAAACTGTGTATCACAATAAGAGTCGAGTTGTTTTAAAAGTTTAACATATTCTTAATAACCTTAATTGTACAAGATGGCTTATAAACATTGACTTAATCTAAAACAAATATTTGACAATTTAATTTTTCTTCGAAATTCCATTCATTTACCATTTAATAATTATTTCAACATTTAATTTTACATTTTAACGTTTAATCTCTTTATAACAAAATGTTTGCTCACTCCTTTTTGATACTCACCGAAAATACCTACTAAATTTTATCCAATCCTACGTTACGTTATAATTTTAAAAAACATTTTCTGTTAATGCCAATTTCTCTTTAACACAGTCTTTATAGCATTTACTTAGTTCGTTCGTTTACTTGTACGTGCATACATACGCGTATACGTATGTAGATCATATGTACTTGTACATATAGTCATGACAGTCCGTGTATGCGTACGCGTATTCGTATACGTATTGCACGTGTAATGTATACACATGTACAGTATATACTTTGCGGTCGTGATAAGATCGAGAAGGAACTTGCGCAATCTCGAGTTGCGATTACCACTGTCGTGGACAGACCCGTCGCCGCCACTGTCGATAGATTTTACCTGTATCTTGTATTTTCTATTCTATTAACGGAGAAACTACTCGTTACCTTAAAACTTTAAGATATAGAGGTAGATACAAGAATCGTATGAAACTTCTTAATGAAAATGACTTTCGTAATGTTTCCAACGGTAACTCTACTTTTATCTTGCATTGCCATATTCTCAAGTCGGTGCTTAAAGGTTACGTTAACACGAGATACATATAACGAGGCTAGGCTATCTCTACCGCATGTATCGCGTAATAGTTGCCATTATATTTTTATTTTTTTCCCATCTATCTAGTATCCAGAATTTGAAGTTTCGAAGGAAGAAATTTTAATCGACCGAGTGTTTACAGAATATTTTTCTAGGTTAGGAAATACGTACCGTTCGTTCATTGCAAATCCGCGAGATGACCTCGAAAGTGATTTGCAGGCTTTGGAAGAGGCGATTGCAAAATCGGAATGTCTGATAGCAATACGCGTTTTCATGAAATTTCAGATACGCAGCGTGAAACATCGTGGATGAGCAACATTTGACAACTTATAGAATTTATTATTGGATTTCCTATATGTTTTTACATTTAATCTGAACAATTGAAAATGCAAACGATACGATTAATACGATTGCTTTCAATTTACTAATTCATTTCGCTAGACATTTATTCACATGTTACAAATTCCACGACTAATTTATTTTTCTTATTTTAAATTTTTAACATTTTTCTTATTTTCGTGATTAATAATAATTGATAATAACACGAGGCGATTCTTTATGCAGAAATAAGAAGGACATATAGAATACAAGTTTTCTTATGTGACGCTTCGTTCTCGAGAAAATCGGCTTCTATGCTCGAACGTGGCTAATTCCGAAATGGGCAGTAGTAACGTAAACAACCGTCAACGTGTTCTTTCACGCGTGAAAATAAATCGAAAATCAAGTAGATCGATAGAATCAAGTTAAGATTCCTGCTCTAGAGTACTTTGCAAAATTCCTGTAATCTTAGTAAAGCAATTATCTACCGTAGGTAAATATAAATATATAATAGATATATAAATAAATGAAGCGAATTTTTATCATTGTTATTGACAAATGTTCGCAAAACATGTCCATGATTCTTTGACATATCGTCAAGGTCATCAACCCGAGCAGTGTTACAAAGCTTTTGTTCGAGTGTCGCCGTTCGTTAAAAACTTATTATTTAAAAAATGTTTAAACGAAAGTACATCATTTTTCGCACATTATTTACATTGAAATACAAGCTGATTCTTAATTAACTTAAAATTCGATTTGCATCACTGTTATCACATATATATGATAAAGTATAATATTATATTCAATTATAATAATCAATGTATATATGTATATATGTATATTGATCCTACTGTATCGAAATATCAAATAATTGTAATATAAACTTTTCAATGTGACAATAACTTTTTAACAAACGGCGACATCTAATTGAAATCTTCGCAACGCTTTACTCAGGTTAACGACCTTGTATTATTTTTCAAAAATGATAAGCGACATGATAGATATAGAAGAAAGTATGTCGGTGCTAAAATTTGTATCAATAACGTCATTACTGATTGTGTTCGCTATTCTCACGTATACCGCTATAGGCTAACGCCCCATTCATTCGATCCCGTTTCCTTTTTTCTGTAACAGCCAGCCTCGAGTCAGTGATTTTCTTGTGTTCTTCTACTTCTCCTCTCTATTCTCTCATCCGTTTTCCTTTGTCTTTCTCAATTTAGTTCATTATTTCGATAAAGAATATAAGAAAAATGAATTTACTGTACGAATTATTCTTAATTTATTATACGAAGATTGATTTAGCTTCAAGGAATAAATTAAAGCAGAAACAAAATACATCCAGCGTGCTCGTGTACATACTCAAAAATGATTGATTGTAATATGCGCAAGCCTCGATGTAATAAGGAAATACGATACAATACGATACGATACGATACGATACGATACGATACGATACGATGCAATACAATTTCAGTAAAGAATTATTAGCAACATACATCTTGTAGAACAGAAAGCATTATTAAATTGTTTGAGAAAGTTGTATAATTTTGATTGTATACCATATGTCGTTAGATGAACTTGTTTTCTAATTATTTTCTTTACTGCTTATCTTAATGCGCAACCTTATTTTACCCTTATCTTGCTATCACATTTATTTTGCTATTTTGCTATTTTGCTATTTTGCTATTTTGCTATTTTATTATTTTGCTATTGTCTATTCAATCTAACGTATTCGAACGTTATCCAACTACTAACCGTTATGTGTATACGTCTATTTATTATTTATTGCACGAATCTTTACCTTTTCATCTAATTTACCTAGTTAATTAGCTACGCACTTTATCTTCGCACTGTCCTTCTTCTTCTTTTCCAATTTCTTCATCAGTCTACAGCCCTATTTTTACTCCTTCGTTCTTTATCTCTCCTATACTAAATATCTATATATGCTATTACTGATCCTTCTAATTGCCTATACTCTCTTGTCACGAGCACAAATAAATAAATAAATAAATATATATATGAACTAGCAAGAAACTATAAACTCTGGCATAACAAGATTATTGTACGCTATACACTATATATTAAATCGATTCGATTCAACGATAGTTTACATTTTCGAAATAATTCTTGTAAATGGAGTGTTTTATTAATTCGAGTAACTTCCCATTATAAAAACTTCATCGTGAAAGGGGGGAATGAGAAGTTAAACTATAGTTTAGGTCGGAGGAAAGTAAAAAAGATCGATATTGAGATGAAAGAATCGTATAACCTAAACAGGACAGCTAATTATTCTTACATAATTTTTAGTCTACATAACAGTGAAATTCTTGCATCGTTCTATATAGTTTTCGTAATTCTGGTATATCAAAATACGATTTGGTAATAAATACAGAAATTTCATTAGCGAACATTAATTAAAATCCAATACGATCATAGAATGTCAGACTTTCGTTTCAAGTTCCTTGATCGAAGATAACTTGACTACGCGCTAGATTTCGCGTTCGACCTTCGATTTGATAACGTTAGGATAACATTTCGATGAGAATGCATTTATCACCTCACACGGAGCGATTAAACCGACTCACATAAGATTTCATACACGTGAAAAGTGATATCCTTATTAAAAGAAAAACGAAACACGACATACTAGTACTAATAAAAGCGTTCCACAAATAGATAAAACTAAAACTACTAAAAATATTGCTAGCACTCTACAAATAATTTCCCCCTATATTAAAACAATATTTACTTTTTTTTCTCTGCATTGCTACAACCAAAAATTTAAATGAAAATGATTTAAATTAAATGATCTCTGCACATTTTTATTCGTTACTTATTCCACAACGATCCTTCTTTTCCTTCTTTCCACATACAAGAATCTCCAACGTTCGAATTTTTCCAACGTTCGAAATTCGAATTTTTCTGTAGTTGTTTAAACGCATAAAGACGTTAAACATCGATAACGACATAATAACAAAGTGGACAATGCGTAGACAAGCACGGGCTGGAATTCGATAGCTCCGTTTCACATACAGAAGTCACCAAATTGCATCATGAGATGGTGAATTCAAATTTCCATATCGATCTTTAAACACATAAAGGTGTCGAGCGTCGACGAGTCAACATAGTAGTTTCGTAGACGAGTTAGAGGTCGAACTGGAGCTCGATAACTCGTCTTCTTGGCTTAACGGATTCACTTAGAACACGAAACGTCCATATACAGCGCGTTACGAGAGAAAGAAGTCAGCGTGCGCGCGCGCGCGCGATAGAAGAAAACCTTCAGCCACAAGAATCTCGCGTTAAGGAGCACTGATCCGCACTGTGCATCGTGTATTACCCCGGGGAGGTGGGGATAGAGGTGCAGAGTGCAAGAGGGGAGCGCAGAGGGGCTCAAGGCCGGTCACGCCGTCATGCCAGAAAGCCTGCGCGCCGAAATATCATGACTGTTCAACTCGGTTAGCCTCTCTTGCTGCTCCGATTACTTCGCCCCGTTCGTAGACACGCGGCTATATCACGTTCTCGTTCTTCTGTCGCGGACCAAAGTCGCGGAATCATGAAAATTTTGTGTCAACAATTCCGTCCCATGGATTAATATACAGAGCGGAGTAAAAAGGGATAGAATTGCGATGTATAAAGTATAAAAGGGAAGGAGAGGCGGATAATCGACTCTAGGACAGGTGGTACAAACACGGAGGCTGACAGCTGATAGTTCGTGACTTTTGTATCGAGGGAAGTTACGAAACTCGTTACCACGAGAAAGGCTACGACACAGTCTCGCAGGAAAGAAACGGAACACGTCGGTGTGTGAGAGCGTGCGTGTCGAGTGCATTCGCGAGTGCATTCGCGGTCGAGAAAGAGAAAGAGGAAAAGGACGTGAAGAGACAAAAGGGAGAGACGGAGAGAGATAGATAGTTAGAGATAGGCAGACAGATAGATAGGTAGGTAGATACATAGATAGATGGATGGATGGATGGATGGATGGATAGATAGATAGATAGATAAATAGATAGATAGATAGATAGATAGATAGATAGATAGATAGATAGATAGATAGATAGATAGATAGATAGATAGATAGATAGATAGATAGATAGATAGATAGATAGATAGATAGATAGATAGATAGATAGATAGATAGATAGATAGATAGATAGATAGATAGATAGATAGATAGATAGATAGATAGATAGATAGATAGATAGATAGATAGATAGATAGATAGATAGATAGATAGATAGATAGATAGATAGATAGATAGATAGATAGATAGATAGATAGATAGATAGATAGATAGATAGATAGATAGATAGATAGATAGATAGATAGATAGATAGATAGATAGATAGATAGATAGATAGATAGATAGATAGATAGATAGATAGATAGATAGATAGATAGATAGAGAGAGAGAGAGAGAGAGAGAGAGAGAGAAAGAGAGAGAGAGAGAGAGAGAGAGAGAGAATGCGCGAAATCGGTAATCGATCGATCTGCGATCGAAATTCACTGCGTCGCTAGGATATCGTCCTACCAAAATTGCGGTGATGCCCTTAAAGCGATTTTAAATCGGCGAAGGAACACGTTTGTCAGGGAAAAAATAAAGCGAAATGCGAAATGAAGGGCGAGACGTGGAAGAAGGGTAGAGTAAAAGAGGAGAGAAGAAGAGACCGACGAAAGGAAAGGGGATAACGAGGAGAAGGAGGCGGGAGTCGAGGGGTCATCGGGAAACATAACCTCTGTACGCGCAACGTTCGAGTAACCGACCGAAGTAATTTTCGACTTTACCTTCACTTCCGATACACTTCCGCGTATCTGGCTTCCTTACCTTATGTTTCGTGCAACCCCACGATCGCGATGAAGATTGCCCGTAAGCGTTCGCGTTTGAAGCCAGCGTCTGAGATCACACAACACTCTTGACAGTTTTCCGCGATGATGTACGGCTCGGCTGGTATAGTTTTTTCGGCTAGCACACGAGGACAGACAGGCCAATAGATCACAACACTACTACCGACACTTTCGATACGCGACACTATGGTAGACGTACGATCGGGCGTCTTCGGACGAAGTAACAGGCAAGCGAAAGAGCTTGGCACACCTTCGCGTCACGTTACAACGAGCCACGGGCAGCTACAGGCACGGGCTACCTCGGACTCTCCGTCTCCGTCTCCGCTGTTGACTGGTGGCTACCTCACACCACAAGCTCGTCTCGTACCTGTGTCTCTCTTTCTCTCTTTTTCTCTTTCTACGCTGGTGCTCCGAGCCAGCAGCCGGTAGTACAGTGCATTGCCACCAGATGGACGTGTGCATCAATGTACATAATGCATATAGCGAGCGATTCTACACGAAATTGATTTGAAACGATACTCGAGAAATGGACACCAAAGAAAAGAAATTTCAGAAATTGCTCCATTCGGCGTTTCATCGAGTGTATCTACAGGTACGTTCGTTAAAGTGGACTGATAAGGTATAAGATAAAACGCAACAGCTCGTAATAATCATTGAGCATAAATATGTTTAAACGTAACTTTTTTTATTATAATCAGTGGTACAATCGTAAAGACTAGTTGGAGAAACATGCTAAACGCTTGAACTTAACTTCTATTGCTATAATAGAATTTAATTGTTAAGTAACGAAGGAAAAATGACAGATTAATTATATAAATGTTAACAAAACCTTATCTTATTTAGGATGTTCTTTTTTTAGAATACTTTGATCCATCGATAATCGAAGCAACTTAAAGAAAGATTGTAAAACGTTTTAGATTATCAATGTTAGTACAGATTTATACGACAAATAACCTATTTAATTATAACTGGTAAATCGATACCTTTTATTTTACCTCTCCGAATATCTTACTAAACAGTCGTATTATTTATTAGATAGGTTATAGCGAGATAATCTTTAGAGTCGATTTTTGGGGTAATTTTAATCGAGGAACGTGCAAAACAACCGATACGTTACACGGAAGCAGGATTTCAATATGGCGGACGCGCAACTTGATCTAACCGAAATCTCGCTAGTAGATCGAACACATGGTTCGTCATAATGCATCGTTTATTTTCTAATAGAGTATTACGTGTACCCGGTTTGTTATCGTTTATCCTGTGATTTTAGTGGAATAGAACAAGTTAGGGAAACACAAGTCGATCTTTGCAAGAATATGGAAGGTATAAGTGTAGATTTGCAATCAACCAAGTATGCAGTCTATCATTTTTGAGAACATAATTAAAAAAGGTAGAACCTCGATAGAAAATTGTTTTGTGCCTACCAAGTATTGTAGAAAGCACCGCACCCTGGACGTTTTACATATTTTTTTATATTATTTGTATTTTATCTTCTCAAATCCTGCACTCTCAAACTTTCTATAAACTCATAAAAATCCGCAGTCTAGTAATTACCGTTGTATTTCATGATTTTTTACAATTAATTAAAATTTTATTCACAGACTGATTGATCAACGAAATCGATCGATTTTATTTTGTGCACAATGTTTTTCATAGGTATTTTAGTTACGAGATTCGGACATTTTATTTTACTTATTCGTCCATTATTATTATTATCATTATTACTACTACTATTATTATTATTATTGTTGTTGTTATTATTATTATTATTATTATTGTTATTGTTGTTATTGTTGTTGTTGTTGTTGTTGTTGTTATTATTATTATTATTATTATTATTATTATTATTATTGTATATATGCTATATCGTATTGTTTTATTACGTACATTTCATTACGTCAATTAGCATTTATGAAATATTTCGTTAATTTAATGTACTTGTTCTTCGCTCATTATTATTTGGTATAGAGATATAGGAAATAATTAGAAAATATGAAAAAATATCAAAATAGTCTGTGAATAGTGAACAACGAGGTTAAAACGAATTTCGCTGATATTACAGTATTATTTTACCGATTGCAAAAAAATGATTCTAGCGTTATTAATTTAATTAAATTGTTAGTAATATCGCTAGTTATTAATTTAAAGTAAATCAGTAAAACTTGACAAGCTCGAAGTATAGAAAGTAATAAAAAAATTTCATAATAATTGAAATGAATTAGATTCCATTCGACAAGTAGATTGCGGCGCAATATTAAATAAATTGTACAGAAATGATTGTATGGGATTTTGTAGAGAAACAAGGTGTTTTGATTAGAGAAAATGATTGTTTTGCTACTGGCGCGAATAAACCATTAGCTGGATTATATTTAGCGTTATTAATTACGGTTCGACTCGAATGATTAAATCGAATCTAATGTTTGACATGGAAGTTCGTTAAATTAAAGTGTATCGATAGATCAATAGGGAAACTAATATTTCTTCTGTGAAATTGTGCAATCGCTATTATAATTAATGGTTTTTGTTAAAATTCTTTTCGTCTATTTTCCGAAAACCCGTTGAATGTCGTCACGAATCTGGAAAATAAGACGGGATTTTAGTCTTTGTACGTTAATGTCAGATAAATTAGAGGAAAGAACGCGGACAATTATTATTATAAGACTCGGCTGATAGTGGCATATAAGTCAGGTAAACGTAAATGATCATAGTTCAACGCTCGAGACTGACCGGGGTCGCCAAAGCATTTTCCTTTAGCTCCGCTTGACAGCGATTGGCATCTATAATTCTCGACGGTGCGGTGTGGCAAAAAAGTCGCGGAATGCGTTTGATTTGAACCCGTTTAAACGCGTTTCAGGAAACGTGAGCCAGCCCTTTCCACTCGTCACGATCATATCGAACCGATCGTTTTCCTTTAAGCGATTATAACCGAAGCACGAAAGGTGTATAAATATTAGGAAAGAGAAAAAGGAAATAAATTAATCTAGGCAACGGATTTTTCAGACTTTCAACAATTCTTTATAAAATATGTATAGATGAAAGTTCAACATTTACCTCGAACTACGTATCTTTTCGTATATGTACAATTTTGTTGGTTTTGTTTATGTAAACAATCGCTGTGCAATCGCGGTGAAATTGAGGATTAGAAATCATTTAATAAAAATACGAGAATCGAGAAGAAACTGGTGCTAAATCGAAAAAATAAAATTATCGAAGAGAACATTTTCTTACATGCGAATATTCAACTGATCGTAATAGACACAATAGAAAATAGAAAATGTGATTGTAATAGGAAGATGTCGAGTTTTACAGCATATGAAAAAAATACATCGAGATCGGAGAGAACGGAAAGATTCGACAAATTCATCGACGAATTTACTAAGAGAAAAGTTTCGTGAGAATAACATTTTCAGATTATTTTCAGTGGTTTTCGCGAAGAAGGTTATTTATACGTATATGGAAAAAACTAACGATACAGAATACAATGTAATATAGTTTTTTGAAGGAGTTAATCGTCTGAGCAAATGTAAAAAAATTCACCTGTACATTTTTTAAGCGGAGATGGACGATTAAATACGCGAGTGCGTGGATTTGAATAAATTTTCAATATGCGTTGTGATGTATCGGCGTCAGCTGGTCGGTGGTCGGTGGTCGGTGGTCGATACGAGACAGACTGGAGCAAAAGGACGTTTTCCGTTGCGACAAGATTCCGCGCACACTGTCAGAAACAGGCGTCCAGTTAGCAAGTTTAGAAGCGCTGTAGACGAAAGGTAGAAAATAGGCGTATACGATAAGATGATTACAGACAGCTTTCCGTGACTAGAACGCGTGTTTGATAGCAACGATCAACTGCTTCCGAGCGATGATCGTCCGTTAGCGAGCGTAGACGAAGACTGTCCTCGCCGTCGAAGAAACTCCCTCCGCTGGAGTACGGTCCGAGAAAGATTCCTCGAGGCCTGTAGCAGTTTTACGATGCGCCCGGCATCGCGCTCAGCAATACGAGTACCACTTGTAACGCAGCAATAATAATAAAACCAGGTCCTTTCCACGGATCGGTGCGATGCGTAACCAAACACTGTTAATGTATCAATTGTGTGTGTATATATCTATATCTATATTGGAATATTACATTTGAAAACATTCGAAACATTAAAAAAAATCTTTCGAAACAAGAAAACTCGATGTACACGATATCTGATTTTATTATTTTAATTTGAAAAATTTCTTTTCGCTGATTATTTAAGAGTTCCGAATGACTGTTTATTCCGAGGAAAATGTCGGGGTCACTTAGTTTTCCAGACGTTTCAAATTTCTGTATATTTCAAATAGTTTATACAGGTACGGGTTTATACAGGACGTGATTTTATGCGACAATTTTATAATTGGCCGACACGGCCAACACCGGCGATAGTTTTTTTGCGAATATGCATCTCGGAAATTAAGAGAGTTACGAGGTTTTCGCGAGAAGAAAAAGTCGTTTGAAACGTTGAGTTTTCCAACATGTTCAAAAACGATGGAAATCGGTGTTGTTCAGATGTATTGCTCTATAATCAAATCCAATTACGTCACAAGAATGAAAAAGAATCGTGTCATAAAAAAAAAAAAAAAAAAGAGAGGACGTTAAGATACGTCTCCGAGGAAATGAATTTTAACTGTGTTAAAACGCGTTAAACACGATACAATGTACGTGTACATATAATACTACGTATATAAGGGCTCGGCCTTACTTCGTCCTCCTCTGACGTATTACGTTAGCGACAGAGAAAGTAGTAAAGTAGTAAAGTAGTAAAAAGCTTGGATCAAATTCATCGAATACATTTTTATATTACGACAGATTATGTACATTTGACGCACATAGGCCAACCTAGCTTAATCTTAAACTTATCAACGCGATAATCATTTTTAATATCGTATAAATAAACATAGCGTAGGCTGAACCAGATAAATATGCAGTCGGCAATACGGTTTGCAATAAGGTTCGACGAGTCCATCTTCGATTCGACAGTCGGTCGACTGTACGACAAATATACATATATCGTCCGAATGAAAAATTACTTACAGAAGAAAAGTTGTTCGATCGGATCGCATAATTACCAAATTCCTGTTTAAATATGAACGTTTAATAGGTTATCATCTTCCTTTTATTTGCGGTAAATACATACATATAGAAATCGCTAGGCGATTTAACGGCGTACATTTTCTTTAATTATCCTTTTACGTATTAACCGTGGCTCCTATCGTACCTGTTGTAATTATCGGCAGGTAATTCGTCACGACAACCATCGAACGAGACCATCGACGTATAAGTTATCTACGAATTGCGTAAAAGTAATCGTAAAACTTGGTACAACTCGCGTAGACCTTGGAAAACCTTTGAAAGCGACGAGAATCCTTTGCTCTTTATCGTTCGTTCGCTCGAGTTGATAATTAGCTAAAATAATTCTCGTAAAGCGGCTAAATTAGATCGCGTATATCATTTTGATTTTTCCAGTTCTCTGTAAAGAGTTTAGCTTTTAAATAACCCTTGATCGAAATTTAAAGCCGAGTAAATACGAATAAGACGAGAAAGGAATAAAAGTAAGACGTGGACTGCGAATATTTATGCAGACTCTTCGACTTTGTCGCTAAGATGACGCTTTAACGTTGTAACATTAACAGAATAATCAAACTTGTCGTATGTTACGAGACCCCGTCAAAATACACTGTACGTACGTATATTTATCATATATACCGATTTACACGAGTCCTTTACACGTACTTTTTACGATCAGATCCAACTATACGTAAAATTTCGTATCATTCTCTTTTCAGTTTCTACTTTTATTTATTATTTATTATTTATTATTTATTATTTATTATTTATTATTTATTAGCATCGTGCTAGTACTATCGGGGCATCTTGTTATCCGGTGCCTTGTCTCGTACTAAACATTCTTCTACCTATTATTATCATTGCTATTGTTATTGTTATTATTATTAGTATTATTATTATTATATAGGTATAGAGTGATTTTTCGTATTTGCAACAAAAACTCATCAAGATCAACGCTTCTTTCACGAGCAGCGAACGAAATCGCGTCGTAGACGTAATTTCATAGAAACTGAACGCTTCGTGAAACAGCCGATAAGCTTTGTGCTTCTATAGTTTGACGAATAAAGACAAATATGGCTATAGTCTGCGAAACTTGAAACGGGACACTCTGTGTAATTATTTCCTCCGATATTACGTCGTTAAAACAAATACGTTCGTATAGGTTTATTTAAAAAACATATTTTTTCGTTGTTTACGTTTATGATATAGAAACCAGTTTGTAGAGTAATTCCTACACTTACGTACGTTTCGTTCTCCGTACGTTGAATCGAATCGATGGACGCGTGTGCTTGTACGTATCTCGCGAAGCGTGAATTTTGTAGGAACGTGGCTAAATTACAACAAGCGTCGTATCGCTCTCTCCTTGATCGAAACAAATCGCGTCGTAGCATTTTTTCATTTCTCAAGATACGTCGCAATCATATCGTATAGACTGTTTGGAAATTATACTATATATACGTCTATAATTACAATATATACGACTAGATATTTTAGGCGAAACGAGGAAAAACAAAGATGGCACGTTCTAACTTGCATTTACTTTTGGCATTTATAATATTTCTGCCTGTCGCTCATTCCTACCCATGCTGCGTATCTCCGCGATTCTAAATCTCTCACAAATGCATAAATATCCGCCGTCCGATACTTTTCCAACTCTTTCTCTAACATTTTTCCAACGCGATAGAAACATAAATTTGATCTGGGTTCGATCAACGTTCGAATAAACGCTAACGCGGACAAAGTCAGGTTCGCATAAAAATTGTAAAACTGTTAATTAAACGGTCTAATCGTAAAAAAAGAGAAAGAAACGGCGCGCGTACGTGTATTTTATCTCGATTGCTCTTTGCAACGGCAGTAAATTCTAGTAAATTCTAGCTACAGATGAAACGCACCGAATCGTGCACGATCCGTCGTCGCTTTTACAATTGGATCGAGGCACGAGTTTCGGGCACAGTCGCGATCTGTCGGAAGGAAGGTCGTTTATACGTTGTGCGCGGAGCTCGAGTTTAACGGAAATTTTGTTTCACCCGTCGGCGCTCATGCGCTCGCAACCAATCAACGACGATTATTACCAACGATGTTATTAATAAATAGCAGGCAGGCTCGATCAACCATGCAACTTTTTGTACTAATAGAAATCACATTTTCGTATTTACGAAGACACGTGCTTTTCCTATCTTGCGTTTTACGCTTTATCGTATTAAACGTAAGTTACTAAACGCAGCAAGAACGTAAGACGTAGAGTATTGGAAAAACATCTATCGTTATACAGCTAAGAAACGATTAAGAAACGCGTTAAAAAGAAAATGGCGCATTTTTCATCGGTTAGATATGGAAAAGGTTACGGGATTAACTTAATAAGGAGCGAGTGTGCGAGGATCGCTGGCGATCCAGCCTATTTTCTGAGTCGAGGCGGAAGCACGTTGGTCGGCGATGGCGTTGGACTGCTGCTACACGATCTGCTCAACGCTCTGTGAGGCTCGACGCTGAGGAAACTCTTGTCGCTGGTCGGCGGCGCCGAGATGATTTCTGGCTCGGCAGGGCTGGGACAGCGTCGTTGCGAGCACGTTGACAAGCTACTTCTCGATAACGTTTGCAACGGTATTTGGTAGATTCTTATCGGCTTCCAGTCGCCCTGACTGTCTATAGAAAGCAAAAGACGATTATATTATTCTCGATTATATCGATTTCCTACTCGTATCAACGTTAGCTACTATAACGTCAGATATAGTACGTCATGGTTTTCTAGACTTTTCGATTTAGCAAGTTGTTGGCACAGTGTTGGCGCGTAAACGTGTTTATCGCTGCAAGCGTATTTTATATATATACCGTATACATATCGTTCTAAATAAATAAATAGATAAATAAATAAATAAATAAAGAAACATTTATCCTATTAGGATAAATGTAGAATAAGTAGAATAAGTAGAAAATGACGATCGGTTTGGAGAAGACGGACACGTACTTTGCTGATTGGATCGAGACGTAGAAGATTGGGGGAAAGGAGGCGGACTGGAAACCGGTTCTTCCTTGTCCATGGGTTTCGAGTCCAGGCGAATTCTTTCGCATTTTCCAGGCAGAAATTCCGGAGCCGTTGTGGCGAAGAAGATGTCTTGCTTCGAAGTGATTAGATTCAGGTTTGGCATGGCGATCGTGTGCACCAAATTTCCATTGATTATCAATCGTATCTCCATGGTGTCGTTGGTAAAGGCGATCACGTAGGGGAAGGCACAGGCTGAAAGTTTGTATCGAGACACGAAGGATTATCGAAAAATAAAGAACGACGAAACGTAAAGATGCAAAGATACGTTACCTATTGCCGCAGGAACGGAATTCCAGTTGAAATCGAATTCCGTTGCTACGGTATTCTCTTCTAAGAGTTTTTGAAAGTGGCACGTATCTGCGGTAAGAAAGGCAGGTAAGCGAGTATCGATCGAACACGTCGTTGTTGCATCGCTGCCACCAATTCTTCCTCCGTTTAACCATAATTCTACCGTTTATTATATTTATTAAATTCTTCGGTTTTCCATTTCGCTTCTTATTCGACTTTTAGCTAGATCGATATACGTAGGCACGTTGAAATCGAACGACGACCTTGTATCTTTAAATTTTGTCTACCTTTAAATTTACATTTTTCACCTTTATTCGTATTACGCGTACGTCGCTCTTTCGTCGACTACGCGTC